CAGAGAGCCTTCTGCTCTGTACCTTGCCTCTCTCTGAGCCTGGATGCCTGCTTGCCAGCACAGATATCACCACGTGGCATTTCCATTGACAGAATCTATTTGTGTTCCCTTTGATCCCAGGGAAAGTTAGCCTTGAAATTGAATCTGGTCATCTGCCCGTGTCCTTGGCCAACGGCAGAGGCATCTTTGTGGAGCTAGAAGGCAGCACACCATCTGCTCATTCCTTTTCCGAGTGTAAGAGACTGACTTACCTGTCAGGGGTAGACAGATACTTCTGCTTCTGGAATTTCTTCTCCAAGCCCATCAGCTGGAGCTCCGTGAAGATGGTCCTGTTCCGGCGTGGCTTTTTTAACCGAGGCGCAGGCTGCTCTGCCTCGGACTCGCTGCTGGCATGGGTCTCGCTGGCTGGTGTCTCTGAGCTTGCGGTCCCCGAGGAGGTCTGGGCTGGCAGCACGCGGGAGCTGGTGGCAGCTGGGACGAGGTGAGGGACCACGGAGGGCTGCCTGGTGATGACGGAGATGAGAGGATATGCCCTCAGAGAAGCGGAACCTGGCAGGGAAGGAAGCAGAGGTGGATAAAGGCCAGTTCAGTGGCAATATGGTTAAGTAACGGGAGCACTGGAGAGAGCAGGGAGAGAGGAATGAATGGCTTTGCAATTCCCTTGTGAAATGACCACAAGCAAGTCAATTCCCCTCTCTGGACCTGCTCCTTCTCCCAGATTTCATGTGTTTATCTTTCCTTGGGCTGAAAGTCTCGGTGTGCACTTCCCTAGCACAGGGAAAAGAGAACCTGCATTTCCAATGCCGCCGCCCCCCCCTTTTTTAGGAGATATTATAACACTTATCATTGAAGTCATCTGTCTAATTACCACAAGAGATTAAACTCAGTGAACGATGAAATCTGTCCCAATTCATGCAACTCTCCTCTCTGCGGACACTAGGACAGGGTTCACTTGAGTTAATTAATCTACAGGCGACAGACAATGGGGTTCAAGCCACAATTCATCTCATCCTCTAGTAGGGAACTGAAAGAGTCAGATCAATCACGCTTTCATCCCCTGCCATCTATACTGACCCCGTTGACTATATGTGCAGATGAAGACACAGATTCTTCACCAACTCTTAACTCTACATCTTACACTAACCAGTCGATACCAGCCCTAAAAAAGAACCCAGTAGTTCTGCTCCAATCCTTTCACATCAAGGCCAGTCTGGGATGACAAATCTGAACATCCCCAAACACTAGAGGAAGTTCTGATTCACATCAGACCTTTCAAATTTACAGCTATAGACAGATTTCTGCTCAGCCTTAGCCCCAGGAAATTAAATGTTCCTTTAAAATTTGGGCAGGAAAATAGGGAAATGGACATTCGCTGCAAGATGACAACTTTGCAACCAACCTGCAGAGTCTTGGGCAAGCCGCTGTCTTGCTCTGTGCCTCAGTTTACCTCATTTGCAAAATTGAGACAATCCTCCTTACCTACTTCACTGGTGGTAAAACATGGATTAAAGTTTAATGTACATAAAATATCCTGAGATCTTTAGACAAATGGTGCTGTGGAGAGGAACATATTACACCAGCAGGCCTGATTGCAAAACTCTTCATATGAATCACCACCACTAATGAAAATAATGATCTATAGACCTCAATGAGTCTATTTCGGTGAGTAATTCACCACAGAGGAGGAAAGGAGTTGCCAGCCTGTCCTGCTGATGACCCGTATTCCTTGTGTAAAGCATTATCCACTGATGCCCTAGCTCACACACCATAAAGGAGTGGATCCAGTCTTTATATACCCTTATCCTGCTGTTGGGGGGTCCTGGTTCAAACCTTCCCATCACAGAGCTCCTGCCCCCCTGCAGGTTCATTCTCTGAGCCTTTTCTCATAGCCTGAAACCCCACTCCTGTCCTTGCACACAGGTGGCTTTTGGCACCAGATCCCTGGTTAATTGATACTCTTCCCCTTGCACCCCTGTGTATTTCCAGCAGGGTTCTCCATAAACCACGACATTACTAGGGGGTAATAAATCACCAGAGCTCAGAAACCCCTGCAAGGCTCCAAGTGACTGAAACCTCTGGCCAAAAGCATTTTTACAAGGGACTCTCTTCAGGGGAGGTCAGCAAAAGGTATTTGATATCAGAGCAATCGGGGCTATCTGCTTTCCTGTATGGCATACTAGCAGCGTATGGGATGGCTTGGGTAGGTGAGGTTAGCTACAATGGTCCCAGAGCTTAAGATCTGCCTTCATCAAACAGGAGAAAGCCTCTTCAGGCTGTTTTTCTAATAACCAGGTAGGATCAGGAATAAAATATCCTCCTTCAAGGATCATCAGCGAGAACTTGGCTGTTTTGGCTGGTTGTTGGAGAAGCAGATGACACTGGAGTTGTTGGGGTCCAGGTTTTCAAGCGCTAAGCACCTGTATAAGGGGATACGTTTTCCAAAATGTTCAACAGCCAGCAGCTGTGACCTGGCCAAATGCTCAGAAAAGCTCAGCACACGCTTATTTTTGGTGCCTACGTCAGGACACTTCTTTACTTACAGCACTTGTGAAACCGCTGTTCTGCTCCTGGGCAACTAGTGGTTTGCAACTGCTGAGTTGCTTCGAGCTCCAGGTGGTGAACAGATTTGTGAGCCTGTTGACACCAAGTATCTTGTATTTGTTTATAATTTGTGATCATAAGAGAAGCCTTTGCTTATGGTTTGACACCAACAGTTGCGACAGTGCTTTTAGAAACTGTCATAAATAATGAAAGCATCTGCTGATGTTCAGCCACGTACAAGACTTCTCAGCTTTCTGGCCTCAGCCTGCCGAGGACACAGGATGGTCTGGGCATAGAGTAAGGACAACATTTAGAGAAAGACGTGGGGCTCAAGGCTGCAGATATTTTCTGGGGGGGGAAGTTCCTGGCCAGAAAGGGGGCAATGCTCGAGCAGTCAACTCTCCTGAGTACACCAGAAATCACTAGGCTCTGCGTTGCACTAGCTAGCTTCTAGATCACAAAGGAAAAACCTTAAGTTCAGTGTCCTGTTCTGGATCTAGTTATCCCGAAGTTCAAAGGTAGCTGAAGTGGAGCCAGTCCATTGTCTCTAGGTACACGACAATTATTACCATAACTCCCTGTAAACCATCCGTATAGTTCTCGCCCTGATAAAGCCTTGGCTTCCAAACACTCTGAAATCTGAGGCTAGATCTACATTTCACATCCCCTGGAGTTCAAAGGTATTTCTAGACGACATGGTATTGTAAGAATGGAATAATTTTTTTAATCTTCAACAAATTAAGTGCTGGCAAGCAGCTCTTGTCTGCTCAGCACTGTTGTGACACGCTCTGTCTCCCAAAATGGGGAGGAATGGAAATGAAGTGCTCTTCCTTTCCGTACCTGCCTTGCAGAACAGCTTCAGCTGAACGCATACTTCCCTGCATTGTTGTCTGAGCACCTTTTCCAGTCCTGACCCACTGGTCGGTCTTTTGCACTTGAAAACCAAAAAAAAAAAAAAAAAAACCAAACCAAAAAAAGCCAGAAAATGAGGAACTAGCTTGCTACCCTAGCAACACACCTTGAGTGTTTTATTATTTCTATTTATAATTATCAAAAGGCAGCACAGTCCAATGGTGAAGCCACCAGTAGCTTAGGACTCAGGAGGTCTCAGTGCTCTTCATAGGGACAGTGGTCTCTTACCACGTGGTTTTATACAGAAAAGGTCCAGTTTTATCTATCAATCTTAATCACCCCAACGTCTAGCTAGTCTTGTTCTCCATTTGCAGCCGAATTCTTCTCAAATACTTAGGAAGCATTAGTACAGTCCATACTTCATACCACGCACAACTGAGGGAGTGGTGCTTAAGCAACAGAAATTTTCCTGTAGTTATTTTTTCAGCATTTGAATAGTCTCAATTCCAAGCAGCAAGAAAGCTCTTATTTCTGTCCATCTCCATACAGCTAACATCTGGCCACTCAGTTGCTAAAACTAACTGAGAGCTAAAAATAAAAAGGACATTGGATCCGCAGAGTGTTTTCTAAGGATCTGAAAACATTTTGCTTTGCTATTTACATCAGGCCATGTTGGCAGGCGCTGCACGGTGAGTAACAGATCTGCCCCTTGCACAATGCACTGACCGCACCACCTCGAAATGAATTGGCTTACTCGAGCCACGCAGTCTGTAAGAACCCTGGACTCCCGTTTCCTCATCACACGTAAAATATTTGTCCTAGAAATGTACCACGATCTAACGTATCCAAAGATGCGGTTTTCTCGCTCGTTTTGCTTTTCAGACCACTAGATATGATGCAGTAGGTACACCACCACTACACCAGATCACCTTGCAGAAGTTTTAATTAAAAATAAATACTTCCAATAAATCTTTTTCCCCTTCTTTTTCCCCTTTTCCCTCCTCCTTGGCTTACTTTCAACCCCAGCAGACACAGACTAGAGGGAAGAGAAAAGGGAAAGCACTAATTAATTGCACTGTTTGACTGCCGGCAATGGCAGAACAGTTTTCCTCCTAGGCAAACTCGGCTAATTCTGTTTTGGAAAGAAAGAAAAAGGAAGGAAAGATTTATGGATCAGCTCCTCTTGGCAGGTCAGCCCTGCTCAGAGGCTGAATGAAATCTCACTCAGAACGGGCTGCAGTGAAAGGTAAATAATAAAAGAAAATGAACTTACGACTCAGGAAGGTCTATAAATCTGCCATCTCCTGAGTGTCAAAACAAAAGGGAACCAAGAAGGAGTTGAGTTCGTTTAGGAAAGAGCTTCATTTTGCTGAAGGAGCAGGCAGCCTGCTGAAAGGAAGAAGCAAGCCCTGAGTGAAGCAAAGAAGGCAAAAGCAGCAAGGAAACGTTGAGAATAAGTCAGTCAAAGGCTGCAGGTACAGTTCACACCACATTCTATTTCAATCCAATCAACCCTCACGTCTGTAAATAACTTTCATAATTATGAATAGAACATCTTGCAGCTCAAAGGTGCTCTTCTTCATAGCATCTGTCACCATACAACTGCCTGTCCAGCGACCCGGGGCGAGTGGAGCTGGACACACCCTTCAGCTGCCCCACGCTGTGGGCACTTAGAGCTGTGGCCAAGGTTAGCCCAGTTTCAAAGCCACAAGTGAAATTTCCTCAGCACTTGCAGCTGTGAAATCTACGTTTGCTGTTTCAAGCCTGTCCCCATCAGCAATCTATCAACGTAATGTTTCAGAATAACTTTGACATAATAACAGTAATTAATAAGTTTGAATGCATCTGAGGCATGCATGCTGGAGGCCTTCCCAAAAACTAACCAGAAAAAATAATTAATCCTTACTTAATGAGGATATTTGATATTTATATTGTGCTTTTTGACATGTTTAAGGCACTGTACACACAGTAAGTAATTGTCCTCGCACAAATGAGGAGGCTGAGAGCCTCCCTGAACGAGAACTTGTCTCACATTATGCATGATATCCTGCCTTACACAAGACTGGATGTGGGCAATTATCTATCTTATAAACACAACCCAAAAATCCACCTACAGCATCAACATCTCCAGGGATGCCAGAGCCCTGAAGGATGGCACCAGG